CTATCTGCCTGTTCTGCTCCCCACTCTGTCTCTGGTGAAGCCTCTCACCGCCCCTGCACCTCTGGCCTGTACCCTAGTTCTGTATGTATGAATAAATAAATCTTTTAAAAAAAAAAAAGATAGAGGTAAAGGAAGGAGGCATGAATTAGAACCAATTTCTAAACTTAGAAACACACAATTAAATGTAGATATTTCAGAAAAGTATTACATACAACTAAATCACTGACAAAACAAAGTATAGTACATTTAAATTGTTTATGGATCTATTATAACCATATTCATATATAATTAGCAAAGTTTTATTTGTAAAATAAATAGTTGACTGGCTTATGGGGATGTTTTCATAATTTGGTAAAATTAATAAAAAAAAACTTTTAAACCGGATGGGGTCAAGATAATCAGAAAAATGATTAATTATGTGGTATTTTTATTTCCTTTCATTTTTATTTCCCTTTAATAACTTCTGCAGTATATTTGGCATGATATTTTCTCCAGCTCATGCAAATATATGTTCTCTAAATATACCTGTTTCCTCAACAAAGCAAAACTATGCATGTTTGTTTCTGTTTTATCGTGCATTCATATTCATATTCCAATATTTCCTACAATTTACCGCTTCATGAAAATTAGAATACTAGATCTCTTTTTCCGCAGCTAAGAAATGCAATTGATATCATAAATTAAGTCTTTCAAGCTCTGCTTTTATTTTATCTGTTATCTAAAATGTTAGTATGCAGGATGTTAACATAAAAAGATAATCTCAATAATGACAAACTTCATGAATGTGAAAAGAAACAGACTATATGCAATTCAACACAAGTACCTAGATATTAATCTTAGTTAATTTCTATCCTTTAAGTAGGGCTGAATTTGTTTTGATTATATATGCTTTAATTTCATATTTGTAAATTAGGTAAAGTTAATTTACATTTCCGGGACAATTTATGGGAATATATAAAAGACCCTTTATAAAGCTAAATTTAATTTGTTTAGCTTGGTGTGAATCAGAACAACTAAATTTTTAAAATAACACATTTAATGTTACCTTTGTAACATGACAAACATGCATACATTAGTTCATTCCATTCTTTAATGTTGTATAGTATTTTACAATTGAGGAAACTGATGTAACGAGTTAAATAATATACCCCAAAGCACATAGGTAGGCACTGGAAGAGTGAGGATTCAAACCCATGTAATCTAGCTGCTAATCTCATGCTTTTAAAAATTATTACACAATTTATAATTTATTACACTCTTTTCAATTTACGTAACAACATATCTATTGAAACTACATATCTAGTTAACAGCATGTTTTTTCTTGTCATTTAATATATGTATGTATGTATGTATGTATGTATGCATGTATGTGTATAACAGTATAGATACTGATACACACACACCTATATACCGTATATATGGTAAATTGAATAGATGGATCACTTAAAGTGACAAATGAACAGTGGTAAAACAACACTTCTTAGCTGGAAAGACACTTAGATTCACTAAAACAGAAGGAAGATTAATTCTGGTTACAAGAAGGTAGAACATTTCAGACTAGAAGAAAAATAACAAAACATCACAACATGGGAATGGCGTGCATGGTATTTGAGGAATTAAATAAAATCAACTATGATTGAATTTCATGATTAAGGGAAGTATGGTATGAAATTGATTTAAAGAGTATGAGGTAACTGCATGTTTACAACACAATGAAACTTTTGAAGAAGTGTAAGCTGTGAGCTGTTAAGGATGGATTTAGAAAGCCATTTCCTCTCCCCATACCATGCATCACAAAACTATTCCAAAACAATGGCAAAGAGATGATAAGTAATTAATACAGGGAAACACAAAAAAAGGTGGGGACAACCACAAAAAATCATATTTCAACACACTGTGATGGGTGAAAACAGAAGTAGATACAACCAACTTGAAAAATAAAAATAGTTAATATGCCCTCATGGAACTCAAACGCTATTTAATGACAAGTTGTACTTGAAAGGAAGGAATATGAAGTTAAAGAACCAAAACGAAAGTTCTGGTTAACAGATTATATATAGATATATATATATAATAGCCAAATTTTATAGTATTTCTCCTATAGTCAAGACAGTGCAATAATAACACCATCCTCACTTATAATAAATATTGATTTATGAATCACTAATTTTACTGCAGATTTAATAACAAATTTAATAGTTAAATTAATCTTGGGAACTAAAGAAGTTGAGTAACAATGTGGAAGAACCTAGACATAGTTAATTGGTTAGAAATTAAATAATATATAAATTACAAATAAATGAGTTTTAGAATTAAAGATATCATACATAAAAGTGGAGAAAAGTAAAACATTAAAAACAAGTATCATTTGAAAAACACTTTACTATTTGCAAAGTAGTCTCCTAGTCAATAGAAGCAGACACATTTTCTCTCTTTCCAAACAGTAAAATTAAATTAAAACATTAAAAAATGTAAAATATAGCAAAATGTAGTTTGGGAAGTAGTAGGTTAAAGGAATAGTATATCCCTCTTATATTACAACTTGCATGTTGAACTACCTACCCATTTTACATTAATAAAAATTAAGATGAATTAAATATTTAACTGATTATTCTGAATCCTATGACGACAATTACAGAGAGAAAGAATGCTAGTGAACATTATTGGATGCATACTGTATATATCTGGGTTTTTGTGAGACTCATGAGTCTCACAAGACATTATTATCACTGGAAAAAATTGAGGTTATTGCAATTATCTATGTGACAGATAACAGATGTTTGAATTAGGGAAAGTGAAGAAGGAGATGAGTGTTTGACAGATATGTTTTGGAGGCATATTTCATAATATTTCATGTTAAATTTAAGGGGATGAGAAAGGAGCTAAATTTAAAGATATCTCATAATTTTCAGATTTGATCAACAACTCAAATAACAGGTTTCCATTTATTAGCTTCATTTTTCAAATTCTCCATAACAAGTTGCAATTATCACTTGAAAAACACTTTACTATTTTCAAATGGTCTCCTACTCAATAGAAGCATATACATCCCCTCTCTTTCCAAACTCTGAGAAACTGAACTCTGCTAACAGAAGGAACTCTGGTAAACTCAGTCACTAAGTTGTGAAGACCTAAGAGAAAGACACAATTTCTCTTAACATAACAAGGCGAGGGCTAACACACAAGCAATAGGGCAACAGCAAAAGATCAGGATGAACTGCTGCACCTTGCTTTAAGTGCAATAAGACCATGCATCTTTAAGAGGGAAATTAACTCTCCATACCAGAAAATTTTGTACAAAGCTGTGTCTACCTATCTGTAGACAGTATAAGGTAGAATCAAATAAGCTCCCATATCCCTGCCAAACAAGAAGACCAGAGATCATCTGTCTGTGCTGCAAATGAGAAGTCATACGAAGTGAACAAGAGCTGAGAGTTAGGACACAGTGGTAAGATTCCAGAACTGTGCACAGTGGTTAAGAACTCTGTTCTCATTGATAAGCTAGGTTGACAATAAAAGGTCCTACTAGGTTGTTGACCAAAAGTAAATTAAAGTCTTAGAAGAGTGTTTTACTTACTTCCCTCAAGTTCACCTAGGACAGCAGGCTTTGTAGGACACAAGAAGGAACCTGTAGTCAAGTGACCTGTGGTCTGTCCATTCAGAAGGGGTGAGACGAATACCAGATGAAGCAAGACCCTCAAGTGGGAGCCCTAGAAAGAGCACAGCAGATTACAGAGTTTAGACTCAGGTCTTCCAACAACACACTAACTGGTTATAGCTTCATTAAAGGAATGATTTGACTAAATGACTGTAAGACTCATCCTTGAAACTAGATCATAAATCTGAAACAGTCAGGAAGGAAGGGGGGAAATAAGGAAGGGCAGGAAGAGGTGAAGTGGAGGGTGGTGCAGGATGGTGGGCACTTTGGTGGTGGGAAAAATATGGAGACTTCAACTTAGGGAAGAAATCCTACATTCAGAAACAATCAACAAGAATGTTTAAAAAATTAAGGAAATAAAGATTTGTTAATATGTGCTGACATTTAGGACAAAAGGTATTCCTGCTTCTAATAATTTGGATATGGGAGGAAAGACTTTGCCCTTCCTGCTAGTTTATTTGGTAAAATAAATTCCAGGCTACATAAGAAGCTCCCCAAGCCTGAAATACTATACTGTTAATTTCTCTTATACAGAGAGCAACTTAGGGTGTCTACCCTCTTTGCTATAACCCTCTCTGCTAAAATCACATTCCTTCCACATAGTCTGTCAAAATCAAAGCTTCTTATAGTTTTAAACTTAAGAATTAAGAGACTTAAAACATAGGCCAAATATGGGAGCCTGGGATATAAAGTCAGAAAGCCTAAATTTCATTTTTAATGACTCATGCTACATGAACAGTAATGATAAACCTAATGAGTTTGAGTGTCAATTTCATCATGTGGGAAACAAGAATAATTAGATTCTGAGATTGCTAAATGACTCCATTTTGTGATGCAGGCAGCCATGAATCAGTTCAGAGTTGGTTCATAGTAAAATTGTCTTTTGTGTTCTGTTTGGATCCTCTTTGATTTATTTTTTCCTACTGCTGACTCTCCTCAGTGCTTTCAATTTACAGAACAGTATTTATTATTTAAGTAGGCACTATAAATATCATTATACAAGGCTCCACAACTGCATTATAAGCTATTTTAGGGCAAGGGCCATGTTATATACATTCTGTCGATCCTTCATACCATTTCATTCAACTAATGCTTGGTGACTGTTCATAAAAATATTTATATATGAAGAGTAACCATTTATGAATCATATTAATGAGGTCATAATAAAAAGAATTACAAAACATATTCTAAACACTGACTCTCAAAATCATATCCACAAACAAAATGCTAAAATTGTTCAACACTGTCAAATTTTGCTATCAAATTTGGGCAGAATATAACACAAGTATAAGTTGCTATCCACAGTCAACTTCAAAATACAGGTTTATATATGAGCAGCACTCAGTCATGAGAAATAGCTTTGCAATAATAATTTTCATCACTTGCAACACACAACACCTTTATTCATTTACCACTCTCCACTTGGCTTCCTCCGTTCACAGGTATCTGCATAATTGCTTGTTCTGCTCTGAAAGGTAATTCCTGATGCTTTAAATCATAAGCCTTTCTAGCATGAGGTCAATATCTCATGAAAACATCTATCACTTCTTAAACATATACGTTCTTTTTTGGAAGTATATCAATGTATAGTAAGTAAAACACTGCACAGAAGCACTCATTAAGTAACTGCTTCATCACAACGATTTTATGTACCCAATAATACTGACAACTCTTATTATTAACATTAAAGACAATTGGTTCAAGAAAAAAATACCACAATTTTGGTCCAAAAAATACAAATGCAGAACAAAGAGAGGGGACTTTCTTAGAGAGTGATAACTGCCATAATTAAGGTGTAAATGGCAATTACAAAATGTGGTAAAGACACTTGATGAGTAAAGTCACAGAGACTTTGATTAAGAGTAGGTGAGAGTCTTGTGCCATGAAAAACAAGTGAGAGTGTAATAAACAGCATAAAGGGAAGATAATTCCCAGACAAGAAAACATCAAGACTACTACATAAAGTATGAAAGGCATGGTTTGTTGAGAAACAATGAATAAGTAGAAACCAATTTTCCTTCCTGCTGGTTTACTAATTAAGTGATTAAATAAATCTTTGATAAATGCTCACTTAAAAAAAAGTATACTCTCATAGTTCTGGAGGTTTCTCCAAGGAATCCAAGAAGACTCACCCTCTGGGACCAATTAACTATGTTGCTTGAGATATTTGCTTCACTGGTTAAGTCCAGGCACAGATATCCAGATTCTTGAAGTGAACCCTAAAATTTGTCTTTACTGCTTCCAGTTTTCATCCCCCATTCCTTTTACTTTGTCACTTTTAAACATTATTTCTTTTTCTTATCCAAATCTTTGCTCTATCCATATATTGGTTAACATTTGGATTGAGCTAATTCTTACCCCACTACCAGGTTCCAGGTAAGTGTATCTAGTATCAGTGTGACTGGATTGAATGCCTATGTGAAAGAGCTGTTTTTGTATTTAGAGCCTAATTTGTGCATGGATGAAACAATATTCTCCACTGGTATAGATAGCCATGTTAAGGAATTGTTGACTGTAGTTACTGGTTACCTCTTTCACAATAATTGCATCTATTCTCTGATGAGTGAGAACATATATGTAGTTTCATGTCCTTTTAGTTTGTTTGCAGTTCTGCGAGCACAAACCATTCAAAGAGATTCAAAGAGATTCAAAGATTCTCTGGAAAAATGAGATCATTTTGGATTCTAACTATTTATTTGGCATATGTATTTAGGTCTGAGTTGCAAGTTTTCTGTGCACCTGTGAGTATTTAATTGAGAATACTCTTTGCATACCATTGAATATAGAAGAATTTTATACCTCAGAGGATATTAAGAAATTAGAACTCTTCTGATTAGTTTATGAAAATTAACTCTCATAATTCCCAGCTGAGAAACTAAAATTAAATTTTAATGTGCCAGCATTTCCAAAAACAATCACAAAAATTCCTAGATAAGAATTTTTATATAATTAAATTTTTAAAGTCTTTCATAGATCACACGTTTGGTAATATGTATTAATATCAATTTAATATAATTTCTGTCATACCATTGTGGAATATAATACAAGTGCACAGATAGTTGTATAAACTCAGAATATAATTTTACCTGTAAAATGACAAATTGGCTTTAACATATTCTCCTAGCTTATAATAAGGTCATCCTCTGTGCAATCTCTCCAAAGAGTAGATATTTCATATTCAGGACATAATTTTTTGCGCTTTGTGTTGACTTTGGCATGTTTTGATTATTAAGAAAAACAGCAAATAATAGCACTAATTTTCATTTATAAAAGAGTTACAGTTTCAGGGTCTCCCTGGTGGCACAGCGGGTTAAAAGCACAGCACTATGAAGCTAAAGCCACTTCAGCATTAAGTTCTATCCCCAGACCCTGAGATGATCCACATGGAATGGCAGGCCACCCCTGACCCTCCCACTGCTCCCGTCAGTAATATACTTTGTCAATTTGCTTGTTCTGCTCCCCCTCTGTCTCTGGTGAATACTCTCACTGTTCCTACATCTCTGGCCTGTACCCCAGTTCTGTATTCATAAATACATAAATCTTAAAAAAAAAAAAGTTAGTTTCTCATAATTGAGATATTTTCTATTATCTTTAAAAAATGTTGCATGGTCAGGCTCTCCCTTGTGGTGCAACAGGTTAAAGCACCACATTATGAATGTCTCGCAAGACACTGCAGCACCAGTTTGATCCCTGGCCAGGGAGCTGACCCACAATGCATGGCAGAACCCTTCTGACCTGCCCACTGCTATCCTCAGCAGTGTATTTTGTCTATCTGCTCATTCAGCTCCCCACTCTGTCTCTGGTGAATCCTCTCACCCACCAAACCTCTAGCCTGTATGCAGTTATGTAAGCATAAATAAATCTTTAAAAAATATATTGCATTTTCACTTTCATCAACACGTATCTAAAAGTATTTTACTTTATCACACATCTCTTGATCTTTTTAATCAGTGACCAAACTTCTCTAAAATAATTTTGACTTTGCCTGCCCAATATCAAACCAAAAATAAAGAATATTAACATATAGTTTAAGTAATTTTGTTACACAAAATTATCTTACACTCCACATTTACTTTTTATTTATTTTTAACAACTGCATTGAAATGTAAATGGCATGCCATGCTATTTACCCTCTTTAAGGTTTTCCAGTATGTTAACATAGTGGTAAAATTGGTATCACAATCATTTTTTAGAATATTTTCATCATTCTAAAAAAAGAATCCGTATGATTATTAACATTAATCTCTAGTTCTCTCAAATCTCCACTCTGGAGTACTTGACAGTACCTACTTTCCTTTTCGGTGAATAAGACTATTTTCCACTTTTCCTACAAATGAAAACTTATAAATTGTGCCATTTTTTGTGAGTGATTTCATTCACCCAGCATGATAAGTCTGTTTTGTAATATTTGTCATTACCTAATTACCCTTTTATTGTTGGGTAACATTTCATATGTGGACCTACAATGTCTTGTTCATCCCATGATTTTTATAATATTAGTATAAATATTAGATCTACAATGATTTATAATGTATGGTTAACTATTGCCTACTTTAGTAATAATAGAATAAAAAGCAAGTGACTAACTTGTAAATGTTTTCATTTCATGTACATATTGTTTTTATCTAATGAATAAATTCTCTGACTACAAAAATGGCTCTATGACATGTATATTCATTGAATACAAACATAATAAAGACAGTCAAGGGCAGCAGGTTTCCAGTTACTTATTCTAACACAGGTATATACCTAAGAAATCATGGTATGTTGTGTGTGAAGTTATCTTGCAGAGTTTCACTATGTTTATCCTTGGGACTCCTGGAAGTTTAGTATTGCCCTTTGTCAATACTAGTATTGACTTTTGTCAAAGTAAGGCCAATATGAACTAGTTATTACTTTTTAATGCATCTTGTAAATTTTGATACAGTCAACTTGACACTGAGAATTAGCTTGTCAATGTTGTTTAAATGAACGTATGGTTTACAAACTGGTTTAATGGACTACACAATTTTGTCTGGCTTCAAAATCAGTGTGTTTATTGAAAACGTTCAT